GAAAAAAAAAAAAAAAAAAAAAACAAAACACCAACAAAATTATACGATTCAAGAAAAATTAATAAAACTTATTTATTTTTAAAAACGTGTGGGGACGCGTGTTGATATTTTTCGCCTGTAAACTAAAAGTGTGTAATTTTCGAAGAAACAAACGCAGCACTATTTGTTATATATTATTATGTATTATTTAAAGAGTTTTTTTTCCCCGTCGCCGATACATTATATGCATTATATTCATAAAATAAGACGGTTTTTTTTTTCCTTTACGTCCAAAATAAGTGACCTATTTCAAACTTATACTTCCAAACGAATTTCGAACTTTCGATCCCATACAATATTGCTATCAATAATTTAAACGCGTTGGCGGTACATTTTTTGTTTCTTTCTAAGGCTCGATAATACGATAATGTATTGTAAATAATAAATATTTACCCGTCCCGTAGTGTGAGTAAGGGGCGATATCCGAAAACGCACTAATGCCGATATTTTCACTGGAATCGAGTTAGACACCGATTATTGCGGCAAATATGCCGGGGAATACGGATTCGTAATCGATTATTGGATATCCGTTTTTTTTTTTTTTCACTATAATCAATTTAAAACGCGGTATTTGTTTCAAATATAATGCAATTGCCCGTCCGTTTATAAATGTGAAATGGTATTATTTCGGGCGGTTTGCGTTTGGGCCGGTTTTTTAAACGTTGCATCGTGTTTTGAGCAATTTTCCACGACGCGTTTGGCCGAGTAATTTCCGTACATTTTAATGCGTGTTCGGTCGAGTATTTGGTTCGTTTGTAGGTTTTCCCGACCATCAATAAAAATTAAAAATTGAATACTCTGAAATATAATGCGTTTCCAGTGTATCGTGATCCTTGAATTCAATTTCTGTTCTTGGGGAAATTGACACGTTATGAGTTCTATAAAAACCAGCGTCCACTTCATCATCGGGCGGTAAATTGGGTAATCCAAAAAAAAAAAAAAAATTTTTTACCGAAACACCGATTTCGAAGTATTGATACCGTATTCCCTTAAAAATGTGTTATTATTATTATTATTATTTTTTTATTTGTCCAGGATGAATTAAAAACTGCGTTATGATCTGCCTTTTCAATATCTTAACGCAATTCGTGTACATTTAATATTTTACCTGTTAGATTAACACACAATTTTTTTATTTCCAACCGTGTACAATTATAATAACGCTCTTCGTGTTTTGATGCGAAAGAACAATATGTGCGTGCAATTTAATATTCTATAATAGATTGCATCGTACCTATATCACACTCACTTAAACAATGACCGTTAGGCACTCACTCAAACACGCAGTTTTTATTATGCAGAACAAACGTTAACTCGTAAAAACGCATGGCGTCCGGGTAGTCTCCGACACTACTCCGATAATTTACGCGCGGTTTTTCGCAGAACCGTCCGAGTTGTCCGGGGATGGACGAAAAACGAAATCTTCGATCCGACCGGCAAAAGTAGTGCACACACGGTCGTTACAAAATAATGATTTATAGGCGTTTTTAATGTTGCTCGGCGACCATAAATTATTACTAATTCATATTAGTTTGGAAAGTACACGAAGGCATTTTTAAAAATTTAAGCGCGGCAACGGTTAACTACAGGAACGGTAGTGACCGGAATTGAAACGGGAAATCCAAGGGGAAAAAGTTTTTATTACACGTTTATTATTGGCACGGGCAACTTTGGTCGGCAGAGCCAATGTTATTATACAGTCCAAAACGTTGTGTATTTTCGATTTATTTCGAAACGCGGTTATTTCCCATAAAAATATCAAGAATTAACTTTATACAGTTGTCACGACAAAACGCCCCGTTTCCGTCTACATTATCCCAAAACATACTATTGTAGATCACACAATTTTCCAATTGATTAATTCTATTTTCGAAACTATTAGATATTCGCCCCGAAAACACCTACAAGTAAAATAGGGGGATGTTTTACTCTTTTAGGGGTTGAATTTTCCGAAAATCCGAAACAGATGATCAACCCGGCCCCGTCCGTCCGGTGTTTCGGACTAGGCGATGACGAATCAGTCAACCACTCGGTCAGGACGTGTTATTATACACATTCGTGGACAATGAGAATTGTAAACTCGCGCGTGGATTTACACCGGAGTTCATTTTTCGCGTTCAGATTTCGGTCGCCAGGCCCCCCGGATATTAAGGGTTGAGGGAGCCCGTAACGGGCGCAACTCTAATACCGCAAACCTTTGGAGTGTCAAAATTATAGACACACCACGGACCCATGGAGACCATTACCACCACAATCCCCTTTATACGACGCTTATAACAAGCAATCACACATTTTATTCACAATTGTTATACGAAAAAAAAACGTGTTATAACTTTTTTAACTTTGTTTTCTATACGCACATGCATCGTCTGTAGGTAATCTGTTATTTCGTTCTGCTTATCAATTCATTATGAAACGCACGGATGAAATATTTAGTCCGGTGGCGCCGAAACCAGCAGTCGAGGGTAGTATTTTGTCCGTGTTGTAAACGAGAGCGGGTGGTCTGTAAAACGCGTTTTCACTTGCCCGCCGCCTTCTTAAAACACGATCGAAAAAGGTTCTCGAATTTCGATCGGATTCGCGACGACGGTTCACTGTACACGACGGCGTAACGGCAACAATGATTACGAACGCACGAGACCCGTTACGCGGACGGTTTAGACGCGATTTGAAATCGGACCGCGGGAATCACTTCGAAACGACGATGGCGGCTACATCGGTAGTGTTTTTTTTTTTTTTCTGCGGACGACTTTTCTACCAGAAATGTGTCGCACCGATGCATCCGGTACGGTACATATATTTAAAGGTAATTTGGGCGGTGTTTTTGGAAAGTCGTTTTTTGATTTTCCCAGGAGTTTTTATAATATATGTAAAAAAAAAAAAAAAAAACTTAGGAAAAACGGCAAATATATTATTTTCAATTTTGTTTTGTTTCGTTGCGGTTTAGTTAACATTCAGTTAACGGTTCCTACATTCGTAGGTACTTGAAATTTGTACAGAAAACTTATATTTGCATAGATGCGGTAATATGTTCAAAACATTTTGGATATGTTTGCGCATCATTTCCCAGCGAAAAATAACGGTGCGCTTTGCATTCGTCATTCCATATCTCCACAATGAACGCATTCCGCATTCACGTTCGGCGAAATTCGGAATGCATTTCGTGCGCATTCCAACCGTGTTTCGAAAAAAAAAACGGTTTGTAAAAATATTGTAAATGAAAAATAAAATTACTACATGTTATACAGGTATATTATTCTCTTGCACTGTAAGTTTCGTATTTCATTATGTTTTTTAGATTCCTAGCGTATCGAGGGATTTATTATTATTATTATTTTTTTTTTGTTGGTATTTTATCATTTTCATTCCCATTCTGACATAGAAAGATTGAATTTGCGCTCGCCGTTCATTAAAAAAAAAAAAAAAAAAAAATGTGATTTTGCATTAACGAACACATGGAATAGAACGGGAAAAAGAAATTAAATTCAATGAATGCATTCTTTCCAGACATTGATAATAACGGTTTTTCATCGTCTCCGTCTTCGTCTTTTTTTTTTACTCGCTATCCGAAGCCAACGAAATGTTCCCAGAGTACGCGAATCGTAACTTTAGTGGCATAATATATTTATTACTTTATATAACGATAAAATACGAGAATCGTACGTGTAATCGATCTCGCGATGTCTACAGACGATTCTAATGGTTTTCGTTTTAAACTGAGGCGACGGACTATAAACGATTACGACTATCATCGTAAATGTGGGACCAATCGCGACTAATATCCAATTTGTAGTTGTTCCGATAGAGCGTAATTTACAACCGGTGTTTTTTGACTAGATAACTACGGAATAACATTCAGATAAGTATAAAAGACAAACGGATTGCTATCCGGATAAAAAAAAAAATAAACATTTAACTTTTGTGCGTTGCGCACCGGAACTTAGGCACTAACCGGACGTAATTGACTCGAAATTCAGAGTCGATTGTAAGCACTCCGTGCGGTTTGTTTTCATGTTAACTAGTTTTAGTTATAAAATCGAAATTGAATTGACTTCAATTTAACACACACGAACGCGTTTGTGTTCAACCCGCTCGTATTTTATATGCGAATTCAACCTGACAACAGCGCGCCTTGTAGAAGAATTATTGAAATTAAACTAATAATACAATTGACGGTTTACCGTAAAAGGAATACAAAACTAAGTTGAAGCCTCGAAACAAACTCGTTTCAACAATGACCAGGTTTATTTGTTAATTCGCCAATGCGCCTCCATCTGCCGTGTACGATCAACGATGTTACTAACCGTTAAGAACGGAAATACGAATCCACGCGACATTTCCGTTTGAACAACAGCGCTCTATAGAACAATATTTATCCGGATGATAACGTAAAAGATAAATAATTAGTCGTCTAGACACATTCAAACACTATTCACAACCGAAAACTAAATATACCTGTTTTGCACGGCGATTTCCCGTTCCGTGCCGTCGACAATTATCCGACAATTTCCCGTTTGGGACGGCACACCCTATCGATTTTCCCGATACGTACGCGTATATATACATATTTATTTATTGGATATTTCTTTTATATTTTTTTTTTCTCCCGGATACCGCATGTAACACGCCGTTTTATCATTTCTAGACCGCAGCAGACTGTTCGGACGATAATGGTATTTCTTAAAGTTTTATGACGTATACACTACCTACAACTCCCCCCCCCCACTCCCCCGCCGCCAACAGTAATCATTTGTACACCAGACGTACTTCCGATAGTTTTCAATAACTTGGACGGAACTCTAGTCAACTTTAGACGCGTATTGTCTGGCTTTTGGACGAGCAGCAGCATTAGGCGAGGTGGTAGAGATATAGAAAAAAAAAAAAAAAAAAAACACAATCACGGGGAAAACGAATCTATTGCAGATGGGGTCGATTATATCCGAAACGGGTCACTCCGAAGTGTTATTGTTTAAGCGAGAAAATAATGTTCACGTTATAAACGTTCGGAACCGCGCCTCGTAGAAATGACAGAAAACGTTAAAACCCGATGTACACATTTGGAATCAATTAACGAAAACCTAAAAGTTGTATTTTGAGTAGAAACGTTCGTATAAAGATTGTGCCTCGTACAAGTAAAACACACGGTTTTACTTTTTCCGTGAATATTTGCTTTTCGATTATCGTTGGTTAAGAATTGTTCGAGGCCCATACAACACCGTGGAAGCGTCTTTCGCTCAGCGTATACATTTTATCGGTGGATAAATCAAAAATTTGTTTACTTACGAACTGATTCTCGGACGATAAATGACGATCTACCGTAATACTTATCACCGTGACATTTTTGACACTTACCCACCGTACAGCTGGCCAATACAGACGTCGCACTTTAATATGACCCGTATGTTATACAGCGCACGGCAACGATTGGGTATAAAACCTCAAGCGAGCTCTGGTACGTTCCATACTCGGATGCATACGTTGTCGTTAAACCGATATTATAATAATTACAATTATCGTGCGTAGTCGAGGAACGGTATCGAAGTGGTGAACAAGAAACACTAAATTGTATACCGATCGCTATGGTTGTGGTGAATTCACAATACAAATCACACACAAATTATTATACATTATTATACACGTAAAATAGCGTCCTTTATAAAGAATTTAAAAGATAAAAGTTAAGGGGTCGTAAGATAATGAGGACGGGTGCAACCACTGGTTTAGGTGATTTGATGTATACCGTCGTAAGCAACGATCAACAATTGCTTACGGAAAAAACGATTCTGAGCGGAGTTCAGTTAATAGTAATGCTTTTTCAACAATTTATAGGCCGTATCATTGTAAAATAATAAGGCAGGCTTTACATATTTTCTTTAATGATATTTGTTTAATGTTGTACCGATTTCCTCGGTTTTTCAACGTTTTTCCTGGTTTTCCTATGTTTTTTCCCAGTTTTTCATGTTTGCGGAGAAAACTCCGGGGGAATTCGAATATCGACCTCTATGAAGCACAATGAAATTTCCTTTCAGAAAAATGTCCATCATTATAAGTTGGAGCGCAATTGCTGGTAGAGAAGTTGTCCACCGAAAAAAAAAATAAAATAAAATAAAATAAACATCTTAGTAAAAAAAACCCGTAAGCTTCTTCCCTCCGCTCAGAATCAAACAGTCCCAGATTAATTCGTTACATTTCAAGGGTCGCCGCGGATGAATGCCGACCGAAAAGCATTCCTGCGTTTGGCTTTTATGGCACCTACCTATACGCATCGCGTATACATTATAGTTCGGTATTAATTGGTGATTCGCGGGGTCGTTTTTCCGCGCGGAAAGTTTTATTTAAAACAATATCCATTATTTTAAGCGCACCGTAAACCGTGTCCGTTTTTATGCTAAATATATTTACATGCACAATATAATATATTACGTTGTATATGTATATACACACAGGGGGTGTCCCGCGAGAATTCCGCTATTTTAAAGTGGCGAAATAATGGTTTTTACATTATACGTACTGCCACCACTTCAAATTGTAAATCTTAACGGGGTACGGTACGGCGGTGGGGCACGGTAGGAGAGAGATGCGATGTGGGCCGGGAGAGGAGCAGGAGGAGGTCAACCGGTACGTATGTATATGTATATTAAAACAGAATCCTGCGTATATGGACGAGAAATGTGAATAAGTGTTGGAATAAACTAGACGCAGATTTCCCGAAAGACCTATTATTCTTCCGCGCGCGTCAAGGTTATATTGTTCTCCGCTGCGAATGACATAAAATAATCCGGAGAGCGTTTAAATCAAAATTATTTCCTTGATAAAATAACACCGGAATTCGGTCCAACGAGTAGATATAGGCGATAGGCTGCAGACGCGTCGAATTATAATATTATTATCTCGAAAAGGCCGCCGCCGTGCCGTTTTCCGGGCGCATACTGTCGCGACGGGACATGGAAGCGAGGAGTGGTAGGGGAAGGGTAGAATGACGAGGGGTGGACGCGGAATTCGGCACCGGTTGACGATACCGCTAAACGGCTATAACAACACCGGTCGATCGGTATTCCTGCAGTAGTCTGGAAAATGTATGCCGGTCGTGTGCCGCTTTTTCCGGTGCGAAATCTCGTACGCAATTAAAAAACAAAAAAAAAAAACGATCGAATAAAACCCGAACGTACGTAAAAAAACAAAAAAAAAAAACCCAAAAAACAAAACCGATCCCCCGAAAAAGAATAGTACACGTATTTCGGGAGTGTTGCCAACGACTCCGGAATCTACCCGCAGACACACGCGCGCGCACGCATAAGACACCGAGAAAAGGATATCGGCTGTTGGAATGGTACCAAGAAATGACGATAAAAAATAAATAAAAAATTCGGTTAAAATCTTTTTATTGGAGTTTCACTCCGGCGGTGTACAGAATACATTACAGCGTCCGTACAGTTGTGTTGTAGACGCGTGCGTGACCGGTTGTCGCAGGGAAAACGCCGTACAGCGAAATCGACGTGTACTCGGAGCGAATAGCGTCACTTCCCCCCCCCCCGGCCGGGCCATAATACCGTTGACACGACCCGATCCCGAAAACGATAAGTGCCGATCGATTTGGATTTAATATCGGTCGTCGTGTTTGAACGGCACCGAATCGACGGGCGGACGCGTGTTTACAGTTTCGGCGGCGCCGTTCAATCTGCAGACAGGTCATTCCGCGCGAGAAAACTTTGCGGCGCGCCTGGGATTTCGAGCTCGGAAACGCGCGCGATTTTAGACCGAGTAAATACTGTAAAAAGCTTTATTCCAGTGCAGAACCGTGTACATTTTAAGTGGATAATCGTCCGCCACACAAACAATAATAATAATTGCGTGTTCCCGACCGTCGTCGGGATTCGGGACAGCTGTGCATAGAACGAACGGTCGGAGTTATACTTTTTACTGTCTCGGAAAGCGTGCGTTTATTGGGGTAAAAGTTTTTTTTTTTTTTTTTAGGCGGACGGCTGTAGACCATCGAATCTCTTCATATACTACGCCCCCCACCCTCCTCGCCGCTTTAAACGCGGCGTACCGGGCCGACGCCCGCGCCGTCCGCGGACTATCGCGACGACGGAAATGACGGTCGAATTTGGCGATTCGAAACGGGACCCGCCCGACGTGGCATCCGCACAGTTTTAACCCAGATTCACATCCGACGCGGTTTTTCGACCGGCCGTGTTCGACGCTCATCGGCACCGTCGGAGCACTGTCCGCCGGCTCGGGGGTTCCAACGAGATTTTCCAATTTAAGGCCGTATTATTATTTCGTTTCCGTCTCAAATCGCCCCGGGGAGATGCGAACGGTGCGTCCCCGAAACGTCCCCGAGGCGGACGGTCCTCCGACAAAAACGGAAATTACGATATTATAACGAACATATTATCCCCGGTCCTTTTCGGTCTCGCGGCACATAATTTCACGCGTTTCATCGTTGGCGCGCCGCACACTCGGCCGATCCGAAACGATTATAATAATATTACGTACAGCGCCTTCCGTCTCGACCGGTCTCTACCGACCCACTTACCATCTACCATTCTCATCCTTCGCGGTTCGACGCGTTTCCGCACTTATCCCCCGGACGAGCGCGTGTGTTCCCACTATTATATACGGACAACGACACGCGCTATTATATGCGTATACATATAACATAAGACTGGTCTTTAAGGAGAAAAAAAAAAAAAAAAAGAGGAAAAAAAGGAAATAAAAACCGTACGAATCCGGAACGAGTCGTTTAGTACGGCGGCGGCGATTCTTAATCCCGAGCGGGTATATTGTATACAAGTACCGCGACGGGACGGGGCGGGCGGAAGCGGGGGGGGGAGAGGGGAACCGGAGGTGTGTGGGGTAGTTAAAAGTCCCATTACCGCGGCAGTTTCCATCACCGCCGCTCCGCCGACCGCCGTGTCCGAAGACGGGACCGCCGAGACGACGGCGTCGGTGGTTTTCCCGTCGAAATATACGCACATCGCTTCGGCGGTTTTATCATCGTCATTGCCGTCATAGAGTTTCGTGTTTAAATTTTTTTTTTTTTTTATCTTTTCCAAAACCGCGCACGGCGCGCGTCAGCGGCGGCGTGAAATGTGACCGGGGCTCGTTACAGCGGCGGCCGCGAGACGTTTTTTACCCGTTAATACAGACGAACGGGTTTCGGTAGCGATCTCTATCGCCGCAAAAATCACGTCCGTCTAAGAAAAACAAAAAAGTTTAAATAAAGATATTCATGGCAATGACCCCAAAACGAAAAACTAGGATAACGGGAACGGGTGCGGCCACTGTTATGATAAGTTAGAATAGAACAGAATAGTTAGAGGATACATAGAGGGGAATTTTATTTATATCTTGACGCGACTATAAACCATTGCTATTGAAAAACAATTCGAAGCAAAGATCGGATATACGTGTACGTACGTTTTACCGTTTTCCCGATTATTATGAAAATGTTGTAGCGATTTTCCCAGTTTTTCATATTTTCCGGGAAACCAAACAAGTGCCTTCCCGGCCGAATATTCTTTTAGAAGTTTATCATTACGAGTTATAGCGAAATCGCTGGTTAAAAAGCTATGCACGAACAAAAAAAATCGTGATATTTTAGTAATATATTTACGTATATTTTCCCGTTTTCCCTTCTTTTTTTTTTTTTCGATTTTTCACATCGATTTCCTTTCAGAAAACGTGCTTCGTTAGAGAATCGGTGCGAGATTTCCGGTAGAAAAATTCGTCCACGGATAAAAATGTAAAAATAAACATCTTTGTAAAATTACGCGCTTCTCCGCTCCACTCGGAATCTAAAATTTGCAACACAACGAATTAACCGTTTTATTACGCGGTCCGCATTCGATTTTTATATCATAAAAATCTTACGGTGGTATGACGGCGGGCGGAGGTCTCGCCGTAGGTTTCCGTGGGCCGGTTATTTTGTCCGCGGACCCGCCGTCGTTTTCATCCGGAATATTATCCCGTCGCGTATTTATCGCCGTCACCCTGTCCCCCGGTGTCGGGCCGCCGATCGCGTTACCGCGGTGGCCCGCGGTATTTCGTTAGTTTTTATCGGCCCGTGTAAGCCCGCGGTCTACGGTTGGCAATTCCGCGTGCCGCACGCGGCGGCACGTCCGCGTCCGTTCCGTTCAAAATTCGAATTCGGTCCCCGCGCACACGGCGAGGCGGGGCGATACGACGTATCGGCACGTTAATCACGATCAAATCCGACGGGCTCGATGAATGAGCCATTTCGTTTGTGTGCATTTTTTTCTTTTTTTTTTTTCATTTGTACACGCGTTCGAAAATCGCATTGTACTGTCGATGATAATTGTACGAATACAATTTGTCCTAGATTTCGGCTGTCACAGGACGCGTTTTCGATTGGTTCGTTCCGCGTTCGACGATTCGGGTGTTTATCGTATTAATATACGAAATGAATGAATGGACGCGTTCGAAAATGTAATGTGTATAAAAATTAAAAAAAAAAAAAATATATATATAAAACAATACTCCGTTTACGTGGCGAGTAAGTTGGGTGGATTGGGGGGGGGGGTAGTGGGTATGGACGAACACAAAAAAACCGTTTCGTTTAACGGACAAAAAATTCATAATAATAACAACGGTTTGCGTATATTATTATTGTGTGCGTGCGCGTACGGGGTAAACAAAAAAAAATAAAAAAGGACAAAACTACATTTTTCACTTGCTGCACACATACACACAAACACACACGCACATAATCACACACGCTCGCGCGAGCATTATGTACAATATTTTAGTAAAAAAGAGTAATAAAACGACCGTGTCAAACATGCGTTTGTTAAACAAAAAAAAAAAAAAAAAAAAAAACCCCGGAAAAAAAAGGGGTAAAAAGAGCAAAAGTAATATTGAACTATTTATCATATCATAAATATTCAATTTTTCTTTCGGTCGTATTTTTTGCCCGAAGACGAAAAAAAACGTGCGATAACTGAATACGGGGGGGGAAACAAAAAAAAAAATAAAAATAAAATAAAAGGTCCTGCCGGGCGAGTGGGGGGCGGACGAACGTCCCGACGCGTCACAGTACGATCGTCCCGCGCGTTATTGCGTACAATGAAATTAATAGGCGCCCAGCGCGTCCCGTATCGAAATCGTATTTTTATCGGAAACAAATTATGACAGTGTGTGCGTGTTTGCACGGAGGCGGTGAAATCGCGAAATTGCCGCGCGCCGCCCGTTATTGTGCCGCGCGTGTGGCGTACGGTTTTCCGTTAGAACCCAACGTCGCCGGACACGGAACACGCGTTTGACGGCGGCGGCGGACGTTTAAGGGGGGTGGGGGTAGGGGAGGGGAGGGTATCGGAAGTGGCGAGGATCGCGCGTTCCGCGGCCGTCCGCGAAATCGCACCGCCCGACGGGTGCGCATTGGGCCGTCGAAGAGAAAATTCGACCGCCGGCACGTTTTCCGGCGCTTAGAGCGGGCGCGGACGCGTTACCGGGAGCTCTGCGGGATATCCGCGGGGCCGCCGTAAACATGAAATCGCCGCGCCGTTCGATTTCGACGGCGGCGCACGAGGAATGCCAATCGCGCGGGTCGCCACACCGAACGTAATTTTCGCGATTCCGAATTCTCGGATACCGAGTCGGCGGTGTCCAAAGCGTCTGAATCGTTCGCGGTTTTCTCTGACCGTTTCCTCCCCCCCCCCTCCCCCCGGTGCACTTCAACATCAATCGAAGATCAACCGTTCGCATTGCATTCGGAACCGGAGAGAACCGTCTCGGGCGGCCTTGACACCGGCCGGTATTATTATGCGTCAATTGTTATCGGTGCACGATTTCGCGCGCGGACGGTTTCGCCCGCCCGCACCGTGCGCAACCCGGGTCCGCCGATCGCCGCCGCCCGTATGCGACCCGAGACGTTGTTTCCGTCCGCGGTGCGGTTGTAACCGGGCGACACGCCGCTCGACGACCGTGCCGTACGTGCCGTCAACAGAACGACGGGAGACGTCGAGACGACCGGACCGGTTTACCGTCGCGAGGCGCGAGCGGGACCGCGGCCGACGAGAATTCACCCCCCCCCCCCCGCCGCAAAAACGAGCGGTTCGTCGGCGTCCGGTTCGGGTTCACGCGGCCGAAAAGCGAAATGCGATAACAGTATATCGATTGTACACGCAGGCGAGAAAGCCCGCAAAAAAGTTTTTTTTTTTTTCAAAAAAACCATCGGCGTAATATTTTATAATAATACACACTATTGTTCGTTAGTTTGTTTTGTTTTGTTTTTTTTTTTTTTTCATTCCGCGAAAAGGTACTCTAAGTATAATTAAACGTATATTATTATTGTTTTTTTTTTTTTTTTCCGTTTTTTCCGTTTTTTTTTTTTTTTTTATTCCGTTTTTTCCGTTTTTTTTTTGACAAGCGGACGATATTTCATTCGCCGCGGGGGAACATATTTTTATTGTTTATTTAAACGCGCAAAAATAAATCGCAACCATACAATATTATTATGACCCCGCTACAATACCTGTACACCGTGCCGTCGGAAATTCTCGCCGGCACCTATTTATACGATATTATTAATATTATTGTTATTATTATTATCGTGGGTGTACGCGGCGGAATTTCTCATTACGAACATATTTTATCCGCTTGTTTGTATTTTTTTTTTTTTTTTTTTTTTTTTTTGCTATCATTATTTTTTTTGTCCGCCCCGCGAAATGAAATATGTCAATCAATCATTATTCCGCAATAAGTTTTAATAAAAAAAAAACCGTCATTTTTTTTATTATTATTATTATCATTCAAATTCTCCGCGTATAAAATACGTAAAAAAAAAAATTCAAAACATTATTCCGAACGTACCCGTTACACGATAATAACGATGCGTATGTGGTACGCATACGCACGTAGGTGGATAACGGTAAAGATATTAGCCAATTAATTCGATCCGGCGGGGATCGCCGACCATAAACCTAGTAAAAGTTTTATACCTATACAACATTGTTCGGACGGTACGATAATATTATTACCGCGATAATAAACGCGAGTAAACGGGGGGGGGGGGGCAAAAAAAAAAAAAAAAAAACTAATAAAAATAATACGAATTCCGAATTACCGTTCGAACAATACGGGCCCCGTGTTCGTACTGTTGTGCCGGAGGAACTTTCGAGGAACGATCGGGCAAAGAATATTTTCTCGAGTAGAGTATTCGACAATGGATTACGTATTTAAATAAATGAATGTCTTCAGAAAAAAGAAAAAAAAAAACCGCCCACCGTGTCGGCAAGTCGACACGGATTTTCTTATTTTTTCAGATTCTGAGTGGAGCGAAGAATACATCGGTTTCACAATGATGTTTATTTTACATTTTTTTTTTTTTTGTATTATTATCAGCGAAAAACATTTCTACAAGAAATCTCGCTCCTGTTCACAAGTGTAGTACTATTTTTCAATTGGAAATATGACCGGTGCGGTACTTCAAGCCGGTAATTTTTTTTTTTTTTTGATTTTCCCAATGAACGTTGAGAAACCGGGAAAACAGATACCAATATCAAACAAATATTATTTAAGAAAACATACGACGCCCGTGTTATTTTATTACCGTAATATGAATTATATTCACGTATACCGAGCAACTACACTGTCCGGACCGAATTCCGCTCTGAATCGTTTTTTTCTTTTCGTTTGAAACGGTTAATCTTCGCGTGCGTGGGTACATTGAATTTCCCCTCTATCGCTACTATGCTTTCCCAACTTTTCGGATGGTTCGCGCGAGTTAAATGCGGCATATTTTTTTCACCGTTTAAAAAGATCCGGCGAGTATCGGCGCTCGGGGTTTTCGTTCTTTTGTTTTCCCCCGCGTAAAACGCACGTTAAAAGCCGAAGAAAGTCACGCGAAAGTCATATTTTTCAAACGATGCGCGCGCGGTACACGCCGGGGTGTATGTCGACCGCTCGGGGAGTTTCGACATAATGTAACATCGATTCCGTAGCCCCGCGCGCGCGTCAGGTCCCATTGTGCAGTGTTAAAAGTTTACCCGTTTTACATAGATAACTTTACACCCGCGTCACCGTAATACATCTCCATATGCGACAGACATCATCCGCGCGCCGGCCGTACACTTCCGTTCGCGTCCGCGGTACGCGACCCCGAAAGGGTCTCGCCGCCCATCGATCGCGCGCGTAAGTGACGTTTTTTTTTTTCTTAAACGGGACGTAACCGGTAACGTGGCCGACGGGGCCGCGAGGTTCGGAACGTCCCGGCGTACGCGCGAAATCCGATTACCGGTGACGCGCGCGCAGTGTAACGGTACCGCAGTGCGACGGGCCGTAACTGACAACGGAATCGTTTGAAACGTCGACATATTCGGCGAAATATAACGGCGCCCTGCTCGTTCGCGTAATTTGTTTTACTTTTCGGGCTCCGGGGGCGGGGGTTTTGAACTCGGAAACCTCCCCTCCGCCCGGAAGTACACCACTGTGTACCTGTACATAACGGACCGACCCATTTCGGTAAAAAAAAAGTGACTTTATACCTATAATAACTTAATGGTACGCCTCCCACACCGCCCCAGAAGAAACCGCTCGTAATAATAATTATTATTCGTATAATATAGTCTATAATAACACGACATACGCACATATCTGGGTAGCTGTTACGGTGCGGAGGGGGAAAAAAAATAAATAAAATTCCTTATAATAAATAAGGCGTTACCGCCTTGCCACCGTGAACCCCGCAGCAGTTCTCACGCGGTTATATCGCTGTTGTGTTATAAAGAACGGGGTTTGACAAAAGCGAAATAAAAAAAAAAAAAAAAAAAATGACCAAAATCCGCGACTAAAAAAATACGCTGTGGCGTGGTGAAGCGCGCCCCGCGCACGAGAACGACGGCGCGTCCGTCGTCGCGACAAAACCGAACGCGATTATGATTAAAATCTATTTGTTTTTATCGCGGTTACCGTATCGCAATAGGTCACACGGTTATGGTTTACCGTTTCTTCCACACCGCGTCTCGTTGTATTTCGGGTTCAGAGGACGTCATCCGCGGCGACAAGACGGACGCGGTTTCTCCGTCCCCCGGCTACTCGGCTTAGACCGTCTATTCCTAGCAGTCTCAGTTCCTACACCGCTCTCGACCGACCCGTCCCTGCTTCGGTCTTCCCACCGGTTTCGTTTCCCGTGGGGGGGGGGGTGGCCCAGTTGGGTTTGAAATTTTTTTCGACTTTTATTACGCGACCCCCGGCCGCTCGGTCTCTCGGACGACAGTATTTTAGCTGTTACGTGCGGTTGGTTATGCGGATAACTCGTGTACGTACTTTCGTGTCGACTTCGGTCCGATTTCGAACGTTCGCGAGTCTCGTCATTTGTCTCCCGGGGAACGCCTAAAACCCTCGGCAATAATGTCCGATCGTGCTGTCGTTACCGCGCCTTCGTGCCGTCTCCGCGCCGTTTGAACGCCGCAATTTCAATATCCCGAACGAGTACGGACACCGTCTAGCGGTCGGCCCCGAGACGTCCGCGGACCGTGTCGGTTCGGACGCGCGGCCGTCATAACGGTCGCGTTCGCTGTAACGCAGTTGTTATCAACCGCGGTAATGCGGCAAGGACGAGGCCCGCGCGGCATTTTTCGGACGCGCCGCGATTTCGTACCCTCGCGAATGATCATCTCCGGTTCGAATTGATGACTCGGGGATAACTCGATAAATTCGATATCGTTTAAAAATACCGTGCCCGGGACCCGTAACAGTACCGCGGCAATATTTTCGCGAACGACTCGTTTGATACGGTCGGAAAACAATCGTTACCGTCGCACGATCCGATTAGACCGCGGGGGACCGTCGATTTTCGGTCGCGGTATCGCGAAAACTGGCATCGAAATACCCCCGCGCACCCGAGCCGGTGTTTTTTCACTTTTAACGTGGTCCGCGATCACGACGCGACGGTAATATTTAAAAGGCGTTTTCGGACGGACGGCCGAACCGCCGCGGACCGTGTTTTTTTTTTTTTTTGAAATATGGTCGGTCACCGACAAAAAGAAACGCACGTTTTCCAAATTAACGCCGTGTTCGCGCAATGACAACAGTATCGATTTTTACGCCGATATTATCTGCGGAGTATGATATTTTGTCACTATCGGCCTGAGCCCCGTTTCTTCTACGTCGGTATATTAGAGCGCGTGAGCGAAGCGAGGAACGTATCTGTTTTACTAGTATGATGTTGGGGTTTTTTTTTTTGAGTCCACGAATCATCAAGCGTCTTTTATCTAGTTGGTGTTTTGAGCATGTCGCTTTTCGGTTTTCTTGTAGTTTTATTGATAAACCGCAAAAAACTCGTAATCTTTGGTATAATTTTCGTTGATGTGACCGGATTGCGACGAGGTAGGACTGATAATGCTCTCTACCCGTTTTCCATTACCGGAGGTTTATCGTCGCATGTAGATATAAATTAGAATACTCTGTACCGTAATCCCTTCCAAAATCCATTCTAAAACAGAATATCGCAACAGTATCGCATTACCGTTTTCTCATCTCATTATCCATATAGATAAACGGGAATCGATGTTGTTCGAGACAAATAATTAAATCATTTAGATTAGTCTTTCTAAACCGCGATTATTACATTTATTATGAAATTATCAGATGTAACATAATTTACGTAAACGATCTACTGTCAGTTTTCAATTCCTCGGCCAATGTGCCAATGACACTAAATTATATTGAATTGTTAAAATTTTTCCCAGAAAGTTTGTATAAGTTTATCGCATGTTTGTAACGAAAATGTATAACTAGTAAATATTAACAAACGCAATGCTAATTCTTTCACTAAAAAAAATTATCCCTTAATTTGTAATTATAAAACCGATAATGTTATTGTTGTTAATCGAGTGGCTTCGGTCAAAGACTTGGATGTTTTCTCATCTAGTAATTTATCTTTCTCCTTTAGTTATAAATAAGGCATTTAAAATACCAGGTGTTTCATATTAAGAAATACTAGAGAATTTGAAAATGTACACGCACTGAAAACGCTCTATTGCTCCCTTGTTAGGTCTAAATTGAAATTTGGTTCATTGATATGGGGTTGATATGAAATTCCACTGATAAACTTATTGACAATGTTCAATATAAATTCCTAAAGTCAATTGCCTTCCGTTTAAATTCACCTATTCCCAGACGTTAAATGTCATTAGTAGCGGGTTCTATTTAAATTCAACCATGTGTGGTCAGACGTGAGCTAGCTGACGTCTTATTTGTCTATGATCTTCTCAACAGTAATATTGATTGTCCCGATTTATTATGTACGATCGGTATATGTACGCACAAATACTCTATAAGAAATTTAAATTTATTTTTTGTACCTTTAAAAAAAAAAATCTGCACCGATTCTTTTTTCCCGGGGGGCACTTTTACTTTGTAATCTAATTTGTACTAATGTTGATTTCTTTTTCAACTCCCGGGAATGCTTTAGGTCAAAAGCTTTAATTATTTTTTTCAAAGTAAAACTTACTTTTATATTTTCGTGTCACTTTACATTGTCAATGTACCTTTTATTAATCCATAAAAATATCACTGTATGTATTTTTCATTCCTTTTTTTTATTCTCTCTTTTTTTTTTATATATATATATATATTCTCGACGTTATCATTGTTTGTTGTATTTAAAGGTCTATTGTCCCGTAAAATGTTAGTATTAAATAAAATAAATAAATAAATAACCAATTTATGTCAATCTGCGGTAAATAATCTAATAATTGTATAAGGTTTCAAGTTACATCAATATTGTAGTAACGTGTTTGAAGTCTAGACGTGTACCATCAATTCCGGCACACGTTAAATGCTATATCAATATCGTATGAGTAGGCAAGACGACGTTGCCATCTTTTCTATCTTTTCCGGATAGAAAGTCGCCGTCTATTAAGAGAACGTGGTACGCCCGTAATTTGAGCGTAAAAACACAGTTGTCGGTTAACAGAACCATTTTGTTAATAATTATGAGAGATCGGCAATTTTTGTTTTTTTTTTTTTTTTTTGTTTTTAACAAGGAGAACTTTAGATGTGACGTAGTGTTTTTATTTTTTAGCCGGTACAAAAAGATTTAAAAATATTAATTATTAAAGTTTGTAAACATTTAAAGTTTTTTTGTTTACAAATATAAAATTATTAAGATAAGTTATTGGAAAATAGAAAACCCTACGTCACAGACAATTTTCTCCTTATTAAAACATAGGAAAAAAAAAATGGTCGATCTATCATAATTATTAAAAGAATGGTTTTGTTCGCGTAAAACTGTTTTTTCGTGTAAAAACGTTAGCAAATAATTATTTTGCAATGGTGAAGATACGGTGAGCGCATCTCTTCTGCGCTGCACGCGTACACCTTTGGGTATCGCGTCCTCTCGGTATCTTCATAATTATTTTAGAAATTCTATTTATTTTTTTTCTGTTTAAAATGCTCAGTTTTTCAGCAGCTTTTACTAAACATCACCGTCTGTACGTGAGTCCTTCTAGTCTTCCTGCGACCCATTTCCCGCTGTTCAGCCATATTTATTTCGAGACGTTCAACGCGGCCGTTTGCAGCGATGACGTTTTTAACGAGCATGTTATTAGCTGGCGGCGCGCTTCAATGTCCTGCTCACTCCAGCCATTGTATTTATTGTAAAACCGCTGTGCATTTTTTTTTTCTCATTTCATAGTCACCCGTATTCACGTTTCGCACAGGTCGTCCTTGAAATTTTCGCTTCAAACATTCGCGTCGTCATCAAACGATATTCTTATAATGTGTCTGTATACAACACGGTACGAATGATACAATAAATAGATCACATTTTCATTATGGCGAAAAAAAAAACGATTTTTTTTCAATACGGAATTCGGTCGTGTAACAACGTCCATCGGCGTATATTTACATCGGTCGTATTTATTTTTAAGCTAGGTAATATAAGTAATCACTAATTACTGAATATCGTTTTGAATATTACATTAAATTAAAAAAAAAGAAAAAAAAAAGACGTTCTCGGATAATGGGGACGGGTGCAGTCACTGTTATAGGTAATTTAACGTATACCTGTAAGCAACGATAAACCATTGGTAACGAAAAAACAATTCTGAGCTGAGTTCAGTTAATATGGATGCTTTGTCGAAATAGGCGTTATACATTTTCTTTCGTGATATTTGTTTGATGTTGTGCCGATTTTCCCGGTTTTCCACATTTGCTAGAAAAACTCTGGAAGTAATAGTTCCAAAGTAATCTAAAAAACGTCCTAAGATAATAGGGACGGGTGTAGCCACTTTCCTAGATAATTCAACGCGTGTGAGCAACGATTAACCATCGTTAACGAAAACACAATTCTGAACGGAGTTCAGTAGATAGGGTTGCTTTATCAATAACATTTATGTCATATTATGGTAAAGTGATTAAAACAATAATTGTTTACAAATATTAAAATATTAAAAACTTAATGAGCACAAAAATTAAATATAAAGGAACACGGTTAATAGTTGAAACCTTTTTTTTTTTTGATCTTTTAATTTATTTTCAATTAAGAACCAGGTTTTCCTCATTGTATCGAATATTAATGAGGATTTCAAAAAATTGCCTCTCAGAAAAGTTGTCATACTTGATAATCAGAGTAAGTTTTCTGGTAGAAAGTGTTCACAGAAAAAAAAAAAAAAATCATAAAAATATTACACATTTTTGTGTAATCGATATTGTAATCACTAGGGCTCGGTAGTAATAGAAGTTGCATGTTTTTGTACTTTATGCACTTGATTTATAGCGCCCCGAGCTAGACGTTCTTCCTGTACAACGGAACGTCTTAAAATCGAACATATAAAAATGCACGTTTCGCATATTCCGTTGAATTTAGATGAAAAAGTGCGCGTATTACGTATCGCGTGTTTTTTTTTTTTTTTCGTGCGTATCGACGAAATGACCGCATTCGTTTTTTACACGATAAACTCTGTATTGCGTCCGTCTCCGCACGTTTACCGTTACTGCGATATTTTCGCGCGTGTTTTACAAACACTGCGCGGTGCGTCGTGTTGCGGCGGAATGATTAAACAGGCGTCACGCGGGCATGTGATAATTTTTTCCCGCGTTTTTCCCGGGACGTTCCGCGCGGCGTTCTCGGCCCCGGGGGGTCCCGTACCGCGGGCGCGGCCGACCGTACGCCGTGTGCGTTACGGCACAGTGACGGCGACAGCAAATATTAATGTATGGCGGGCGGTCCGGTCGTGTGCGCGTACACGCGCGGACGGTTTTACGGCGGCGGCGGCGGCCGGGAAACAATTTAATTAGGTCCGAAACTCCGAAACGACGCCGCCCCGGAGAAAACCCCCGGCGGACTCGCGCGAAACTGCAATATCGCCGGCGCTCCTGTATCCCCTCGATTTATTGCCGCGCGAGACGGTAATAACGACAATGACGGCGACGGCGATAGCGACATTGTTATTAAATGTACGGGGCCGCGGGCCGCCCGCCGTCCCCGCAATACCGTCACGGTAATAATAACGGCGGTGCTTAACCGTATCCGTCGACGCGCCGCGCGAACGCCGCGCACGGAGCGCGCGTGACGCGGCGAAACCGAACCGCGACCGCGTGCCGTGGCCGCGCGTCGCGGACGTGACCGCCGTCCGTTTTACCGGCGGTCCGTGCGAGCGGACGGGCTCTCGCGCCGGCCGCGAGGTCGTTTCGTACGTATATTCCGCGGGTCGCGAATTTCCGAACGGGTATCGATCGTCGGGGCAACGCGTGCGGGTGCGGTGTTTTCCGGTTTCGTTTCTCCTTCGGTTCCGCGGCCCACCCGCGGGGTTTTCGGAAATCTCTCTAATCGCCCACCCGCCCACCCCGCCATATATCAACTGAAAACGCGAGACGAATCGTTTTCGATTTTTCGATACACGTCGGGCGGATTCCGCGCGTTTTGTATTTCGTTCTCACAGTTCCATCGTCGCCGCATCACCACACCTCCGCTATTCCGCGAAGCGCTTTAACCGCTCCCCGCGGGGAAACGCGTCTAAACGATACCCGATAGCCGTGATCGACGCGACAAGTCGTGTTGGGCACACGGCGCCCCGTACACCGGAATATTAATTTTCCCGTCCGCGGCGACCACACGCAACGCTACGGTAAGTCAAACCAGACATGTCGCCGTACATCGAATACTCGAATCACTCAACTATCGACAATGGTTCGTCTCACCGATCAAATTCAAATTAAAAACATAGGAAAAACGTTTTTATCATCTTCTCCCGAAAAACTCGATGTTTTTTTATCCAATAGAAAAAAAAAAAACCCTTTTCACTCATTAGTCGTTACATTATTCCGGGTACTCACTCGGTTTCAACGCTGTCTCGACTATAGCTTCCGCGGCGGCGACTTTTGCCATAGGTTTTGCCGTTCTAGAATCTCCCACGGTTTTCTTTAAGACTTAAAAAATAAACCCGGCGACGGCGATAGTATCGACGAATGAGACGTTGTTTAATATTTTCGATCAATTTCCGGATTACCAAGGTGACACGAGGGGGGGGGGGGGGGAGAACACGACCGATCCCATACGACGGTTTCTTAGACAACCGATTATTGTCAATACAGCCGTTATTATTTTCAATCATCATCGTATCATAATAAGAATTTCACATGGGTCGGTTCGACAAAAATCTTGTTGGCCAAATAGCAATAAGACAATTGTCGAACCGACATGGTTTTTTTTTTTTGATTCAGAATTTTGATTTTGACTCAGTGAGTTTACCGAGGCACTCCGATTCTGCGAGAATCGGTCTTTTAATTTCCTTGATTTATACAATCGCTCTCGTTGTAAAAACCGAATTATACTTTACCTGTATCGTGTAATAGGTACTTTGCAAACTTTCCCGATCTATGCGACAACGGCTTACGCCGTGCACGGTGTTAGTGTTAGACCATAGGTATGCGATTACAATCCTTATCGAGCACATACATTGTGCATAATCGGTTCCAGACACGAAAAAAATGTACACACGAATGACCGTATGTAGAGTAACGGTCACGCATCTTGTGTTCTACATTTTTTAAGCAGACACTTCCGCGGTGTCGTCGCTGAAAACCTCGTACGGGCCACTCTTATATTCGTCGGCGGTTCGCCAGTAACAGCGAAAATATTACGCGCGACTGTCGGAAGGCTCGTAACCGAACGGTCCGATTATCACGGATAACACCGCTTGATAAGGAGATTCCGCGACGTAGCCCCGCTAATCGCCATTACGCAGTATAATACGTCTGAGGGGTTTCGTTTCGTTTTTTTTTAACCGTCGGTTTTTTGCGCGCGATAAGTGTTTTCGATTCGCTAATCCGCCGTTACGATACGGCTGCGGAGACGTGCGGGTTTTATCGTCACCGACCGTGTACGGTAATAATAACGCGCGCACACAATACTGCAAACGCAATATTTTAGCCGGCGTATTTATTTAACCGTTTTTCGGGTCGTTACTGTTACCTCTACGTGTAAATATTATTATGTGTTTTCCGAGTATATATTATACTAGTAATACGAACCCCGGCGCGATATTATTAACGTTGTATTGTTACGCGATACGATATTTCACGCTCGACCCAAAAAAAAAAAAAAAATAAACGGAAACCGCCCTATACAACCGCCCTGGTTCGGATTTTTTTTTAAATTGTTTTTTAGTTACGACTCGTATACCCTCTACCGTATTAACAGCAGGTACCTCGGCAGCGATACCGTTGAAACAATGGCGTGTGTACCGGTCCCCCCCCCGTTGACCCGTTTGTCAGTGTCTGTCGTACCATTTATAAGACTATACGCCGGTTTTCAAATCGAATCGTCTCGGCGTTTCGAAAGCCGGTAAACGTTTAACGTGTCGGTACGCATACCATGGTCCGCCCAACTCGCAATATTATATCGTGACTTCGGGACATTTTCGAAATTATCACATTCAATGCGAAGGACAAAACGAACGCATCGTTCAAGACCATTCTCGCGTAAATTATCGGACAGTCATAGGAAATTATACAGTAGACGAAAATAATAAAAAGAATACAATGTCTTAGGCTAATGGGGACGGATGCAGCCACTGTTATAGATAATTCAATGTATACCTGTAAGAAACGTTCAACCGTTGCTTGTTTAAAAACGACTCTGAACGGGGTTCAGTTGACGGTGATGCTTCGTCACCAATATATATGTCGTTTTATAGTAAAACAATTAAACCGGCCTTATATATTTTCTTATTTATTTGTTTAATGTTGTGCCTATTTTCTCAATTTCCCTACGTTTCACCCGGTTTACCCACGTTTTATTACGGAGTTTCACATTTTGCTGGGAAAACTCCTTAGAAAATCAAAAAACGACTTTTTTAAAGTACTTTCCCACACCGATTTCCTTTCAGAAAAGGTGCTACACTTAGAAATCCGAACAAGTCTTCTGGTGAAAAAGTTGTTATCAGATAAAAAAAAAAAAAAAGTACATCTTTGTAAAACGATAAGCTTCTTTGCTCCATTTAGAATCTAAAATTGGTCCACCGACTATAGTTCATGGAACGACGTTATGTATAGTTTATATCAGTCAAAATATATTATTTACTAATCCCATCTCCTCCGTATTATTTAGTGGTTAGAATATAGGTTTCGTTAAAAAAAAAAAAAAAAAATTAAAAAAATATGCTGGTTTTATTTAACGAAACCTATATCCTAACCACTAAATAATACGGAAGTGATGGGATTAGTAAATAAATATTAAGTGAATTAAGAACGATTACTTACCCGGGTATAATAGTTAGGTACGTATACTACGATAGTTATTTAATTGCTATAGTTTATTTCGAGGCGGCGTTGTGAACGGCATTCTGAACGATTCCTGGCGAACGTTCCCCCCATTTCGATCGAATTTCATGCGAAAACCCCATTGCCGAACCCTCTCTAACCCGATGGTTATTTTCACCACATTGCGTGTATTTCCCGAACGGCTGAACGGAAAGCGGTCGGATTTTCAAAAAGGCGCGCGTGGTTTCGCCGTGGATTACGCAACGTCGTCATCACGTGACCCGGCTCATAATACTGTCTTGTGAATAATTTATAACTGGCCCGATTCTAATTGATTTTCGGAATTTGCTTTTGAACACACAATCGGTAACAATAAATCGTGCAATTCGATTCGATACTGTCGAAACTTTCAAATAATATTCGGGATGCATATTCGAACAACTACGTGCCGTTCGGTAAAATGCGTTAAAAAGCCTAAAAGCATATCGGGCCTGTCCGTACAGTAGTCACCGGTGAAGAACGATTGCGCAAGATTTTAAATGCAACGTTGCCGTGTACAAATACATATATTACTACTGTAACGGCATTTATTACAAACCACAATCTGTGTGTAAACCAAAATTTAGCCACAAAAAATTAACGTTCATCGAATGATAAAATCAATTTTCATAACGACGGTCGTCTTAAAATGTGTAAAAATAATCGTTTGTTTCAGTAACCGTTGTTATGTCGTGCGCCGGGGTCGTATAACTGATACGTTATGGCGACGTTTCATTCAAAATTTTGCACAATCGTGCATGTAAACGTAAGACATTTGCGCGATCGTTTATGAATTTCGATGGCTATTGAAATATACACGATTGCGTGAATTTTGCTCCATCGAATAGTTACTTTAATTTGTTAATTTCGAATGATGTAAAACAATATAAAAACGCGCTAAAAAAAAAATGTACGCTTGTATATATACCGATGAATTAATTGTAATTTCAGTTTATAGACAATTTTCGTATGGCGGGAGATTATTGGGATACATGTCTCGCCCCTGGACCGTTTTTACTATCCATTGTTCGTACGTGATTGTCTATTTAGGGAAAAAAAAATATATTTTTTTTGGTTTTTTTATACTTTTAAGTCGAGAAAAATAGACAATTGAATGTCAGCGCCTATATTCAAAGCGTATGGACAATTAGGACGGGTGCAGCCACCGTTATAGGTAATTTAGTGTATACCCGTAGGCGACGATAAATCATTGGTAACCATAAAACGATTTTGAGCGGAGTTCAGCTGATAGTGACGCTTTGTCAACAATTTATATATATTTGTCATATTATAGCGAGATAAATAGACTTTATGTTTTCCTTAATAATATTTGTTTAATTTTGTACCGGTTTTCCCAGATCTCCTACGTTTTTCACGGTATCCCCGTGTTTTATCCCGGTTTTTCACATTTGTTGGGAAAACTCTTAAGAACATTGAAAAATGATCTCTTTAATGTACTTTCCCGGTCGAATTTCTTTTAATGAAAATTGCCATCATTGTAAATTGGAGTAAAATTTCTTTTAGAAAAGTTGTTCGTGGAAAAAAAAATCGTAATATTACATTCTAAGTGAAGCGGAGAAGCTTATAATGCTTAAAATGATGGTTTTACAAAGATGTACATTTTTTATTTCGACCAGAAGACTTGCTTGATTTACTTTCAGCATCTTTTCCGAAATGATATCGGTACGGGGAAGTACTTTAAGGAGTATTTTTTTGATTTTCTCAGAAATTTCCACGATAAATCGGAAAACCGGGAAAATAGGTACGATATTAAACAAATATCATTAAATACTAAAATAATATAGTAAAATCGTTGTTTTTCGTTGGTAATGGTTTGTCGTTGCTTACAGATAAACATTGAATTACGTTTTTACGGTGGCCGAACCCGTCCGCGTTTTCTCGGTACAGCTCTTCCGTTTTAAATTTCCGAAGCGACACAATATACCGTTGCAAAATCATATAATAGGTCTGTACGAGGGGGGGGGGGAAATTCTGCGAGTTTTATACGCGTGTCTCTATACTCGGCGAGTCGTACATTATACGATTTCGCCGTCGTCGTAATTACCGGTTCATAAACCGTGATTCGTTTTGTCGTCTCGTACGGGTTAATAGCGAGGTTTTTATTTTCTGCAACGGTCCCATAATAGCTAACCGGCGCCGTTATACGGGGTATACGTGTACCGGCCCACGCGCTTTGGTACACTGCAGTATATACAATTCGCGTTTCGGATATGGCGAAGAAACTTTGTTGTTTAAGATGTGGAAAAAAAGACACGACGCTAACTTAACGACGAGTTTTCGCGAACTTCACTCCACTAATTTCTCGGCGCGCGCTCGCTATTATATCGCCGAGTCCAAACATAAGTTCGGCCGGTTATGGAGCGGAAAACAATTGAAAGTATATGCAGCGTAGAATTAATAATAGTGTTTCTCTATAAATAAAAGCGTTTTGGCGTAATAAACATATGTATGTATAACGAAAGAACAAAAAAAAAAAACAGGCCAAAGTTTATACACTTTTATTATAGACCGTGCACTACACGTCATCGAGTTTTAAACGCGTTACGTACGAACTGTTCGCCGCTTTATACCGACGCGAACGGGGTTTTTCTCTCCCCGGCGCGGCGCCGCGCGCGATAAAAACGAACCGTCGGCGTTACCGTTTTGCGCGCGGGGCTCGCGGCCGTTCCTTCGCATAATTTTACGACCCGCGCCGGGCCCCCCGCGCCGCACAACACGAGCGTACGACGCGTATAAACAGGCGCGCGCCCACTTGCGCGCGATATTATACGCGCATAAACATCGTACGAGCGCGGCGGCGGCGGCGGCGGCGGTTAAATACAATATCACAAACACGGGGGGGGGGAGAGGGACTTTGTTATATTACCATCATTATTGTCCGTCTCCGTCTCAGTCTTCTAATTATTATCATTGTTGTCGTTGTCGTTTTTGTCGTTTTTGTCGTTTTTGTCGCTGTCGTCGCTGTCGTCGTTATACGGATCGGGAAACTTATTTTCCGAATCTCCACCCTCTCCGCACCCCCCCCCCCCCCC